AAATACCGACCGAATGACACAAATCTTAGTATTTTTTTTAGGGAAGGAAATCATCGAATGACTGCTCCCGTCTGGGTGAGGCGGGAGGGAGTGTCAGACTCTTACTGACTAAAAACCACCCCGTTCCTTCTCCTGCTCGTCGAGCCGAAGCCTCGGTTACCCTTTAGGTTCTCCGCGACTCCAACAAATCTTAGTATAGTAACACTTTTAATGGTTGATAGGACTAACATTATTAGCTTGTATTTAAAAAGTTGCCACCTATACGTACAACTTAAATAACTAGTGTAGTGTAAGTTGCCTTTGCTGGTGCCTACTTCAAATTGACTGTAGCTAATGTTTAGTTATATTATACAATAGATCTTATTGATACACATAATAAAGCTGATTATAGATTACAGAATTATTCACTGGAAATGAGCAATCTAGCTGTCAATGTAATTTGTTATTTAAACACCATAAAGTGTGGGAAAAGAAAGTATTGTATTAAAACTTCAATATACTTGGACATACATAAGTGTAGAGAATAATAGTACCTCAATATCTATGCATAGGTGATTAATGTATAAGTTTTCTTTAAATTACCGATCTGTTTAATGGGATAAGAAAACAGACAAACGGGATTCCGAAATCTGTTCATGTTAGGAAGTCGATGATATTTATGATCTGAAGATTCTGTTTTATTTTGAGATCATTTATTTTTATCGTACAGGACGTAAAACATAATTTGTTACAGCCCTTTTTTCTTTTAATTTAAGGAGAAAAATCATCGAATGACTTCTCCCGCCTGAATGAGAAGGAACGGAGTGTCAGACTCTTACTGACTAAAAACCACCCCGTTCCTACTCCTGCACTTCCAGCCCCCGTAACCCCGGAGCGCCGGTATCCTTCTCTCGCGGCCTTGTATCATTGTTGCAGCCCCAGTTAAAAAAAGTAGTTGAAATGCCAAGGAACAACAAATTACTTTACTCCTCCTCCACCACGGAAATAACAAAACTATACCACAAACCTAAACTGACGTCTGGGTGTTGACGTCTAACACCCACAAAATCACCAACAAAACAGTACACCTGCCCACGACCAACATTATCAACTCGATACAACACATATTTACTAGTCGATTTTCTCCTAATCGATAATCAACAATCGATTTACCTTTCTATATTGAGTTGAAACTCATAAGACAGGCTCACAAAGAGCTTGAGATAGGTGCAAGGAGATGCTCTTATGGTACTGATTTGTAGGAAATAGAAAATACTAGCTTTACACCTGCTGCATTGCCTGCGTTAAATTTAAAAAACTCAGATAATGTAAAGAATGCTAAAAACTAGTTTTCTGACATACCCAGGTCCATACAATAGCAGGAAGTTGGTATCTTCTACCAAGTATTTAGAGACTGATTCTATAGGAACATCTGAATAAATAAGTGTATTATTGTCTCAAAGTTAAGCTGAGCAGTGAAAGACTTTTAATACGTCTGTATAATAACTTCGGAGCCTACTCAGTGCAAACAAACAATCAAAAAGTGTACCTATATAGATAAACTATGCAAATATACCGTTCGTATTTTATAGACCACTTTGTCTAAGTAGCAAGCAGAAGATATATCCGACCGGGATAGCAATAATAACAATATTACTTGTTCTATTAAAATGAAGAGAAAATATAGGTAGGTAAGCACATATTGTAGTTACACAGTATGGTCAGTAACACCTTAATATTAGGTACAATTTCTATTGAACCTTCGTGTAACTGGATTAGAGAAAGATCTATATCTACATGTAGGTAAGTAATAAAATTGTAGGAATGTCAAAACTCTACATTGAATATTTGTTTAAAAGAAATCATATGTAGAAATATATGTCAAATACTTGGGTCGTGATCTACAATCAATATCGAAACCAAAATTATAGTTTTTAGACTTTATGTCTAGTTGTCTGCATGTATGTATATATATCCGGGCTAAACTCAAAAAGTACTGCACAAATGACTGCACGGTTGGCGCAGTGGTTGAGCAACTGGCTTCCGCGCACAGTTTTCTAGCCACTGCGCTAACCGTGCAGTCATATTCTATCTAGTTAAAAATTGTCCAACATGGTTCTAACTTTTCACATTTGTATAATTTTCTAGTATCCTGGTCTTCTAAAACATTAGTGGTAGAAAATTCGCGGTAGTTTTTATATTTTGTCACCTGGCAACTCAAGCTATGTAACAGTTATAGTAATGTTCCAAGTAACACCTCAATATTCCGCAACTTTCTGTAGAAATTATGTATTATAACTGTTTCACTGACAAACTCGCAACTATTGCGTCACTTTAGTTTTAGTAGATACTTATTTAATAAGTAGAAATTGTTAGTAACAACAAACAAGAACGTCGTGGTGGCCCGGAAGTTTAATACGCCCGCTTCTCATGCATGAGGGTGCGGGTTCGAAACCTACCAACGACAAGTACTAATGTGACTTTTTCCGAGTTATATGTACTTTCTAAGATTATTCAGACACCACTGACAAACGGTGAAGGAAAACATCATGAGGAAACCTGGGCTTATAATTTCTAATTATAAGTTTGTAATCGCCAACCCGCATTGAGCAAGCGTGGTGATTAATGCTCGGGGCTAAAACCTTCTCCGTGTGAGAAGAGACCTTTGCTCAGCAGTGGGCAGTTATAGGCTGTTGATGATGATGAGTAACAATTTAAGTAAATATGGCTGCTGTTGTATAGGTAATTTTCGGGAAGTCAATCATTTTGGGATATTAAAAAATTTTGTCTATACAATCGACTTTTGTTTTTTGAATACATTTCTATTTCTATTTAACAGTTTAATATCGAAATCATTTGACAATTAAAATTAAATGTCTACTAGTGAATTAACATTCAATTCATTTATTGTTGTTTCCTCGGTCCCATTTTATTATATGGGTCACGTCATCGTCAGCGGTATCAATTTACAAGCAATCAGTAAAGGGGGACAGATAAAAATAGAAAGAGATAAAATGCTAGGGAATCAGTTTGTCTATTTCAGCCGTTCCCACAAGTGGTAGCGTGGCCGAGCGGTCTAAGGCGCTGGTTTAAGGCACCAGTCTCTTCGGAGGCGTGGGTTCGAATCCCACCGCTGCCAAATCTTTTTGCTCAAAAATAAAAAGGTTTTTTAAAGACATATTACAATTTTCCGTACTTTAGACGATTTCATAACTAAATTATATATTACAATAATCAATATTGTCTAGTTATTTCGAGAACATGCTTATCTATCAACAATTAAATGAAATTAATTCAAACTAAAAGGGAACAATAAGTTAAAATTAACTTTTCGAAACATTGCCGATTCAAAATAGTGCTATACACAACAGGGATCAAAGATTAACAATGGACTGTAATTCATAATTAAGTAAACATTACTTATTATTGTCGCATTTACGATGTATGACATTAATACATCAATCATTTTTGACTACCTTTACAAATAAATCGAGTTAACGCTCCATTATTAATAAATTAAAATAGATTATCTATAGTGATGTGCAACAACTTCACACTTTAGTAAGAATATTTGATTATCTTTTTTTTCGGAAAAGTGTTTCAAACGTCTCGAGAGATTTACTAAAAATTATATTCGAATGAATTTCGTTTGACAACAGTTGTTCATATACAATGCCTAAAATGATAAAAATTTACATATCAATTCTTAAGCCATTGTCCACAAAACGTTTAAAATAACATCTCTATAAATAAAATGACGCCCACCGCGCTGTAGTTTACTACACAAACCAGTAAAAACTCATTGATCGTTGGCAGTTCCAAACAAGTGCGTTATAATCCCAGCACAATGCCACTACATACAGGTAAACCGGTTAATTGATACGATGCCCATCAATCATCATCAATGGCGTTTTAAATTTCGAATTAATAGAACAATTTTGAACTTATCGCTCGTTTTTTTTTCTTTTTTAGTGAAAAGAACCTCTTCATTTCAATATGTAGTTATGACGTGTTTTATCACCAGTGTTACTTGAAATCGATTCATTGCTACTCCCTAAGGTTCTCAGAAAGAAAATCGATTGCAGTTTCTTTAATCAATATTGGGCGTGTAAAAGATTTAGTAAGATTTAATAGGCGTTTTATAACATTTCAATAAATGCTGGACTCCCAGGTAGAACCCTTATATTCTAACTTTGATGTGATGGCAATAAACTGCCTTTTAATTCTATAAGTTATTACACTGCGGTTAAATAATTATTTTCTTGGTTATATTTCACTTAAATCTGAAGTCATAGATACAGAACTATAGTTCTTTAGAAATAGGTAAATGATATCACTCTCTTATTCCAAAGTAAAATGATAATATTTGAATAGTGTAGACTTTTCTGAGATCAGATAATAAGAAAAGCATTTCTCTGTTGCTGATTAGTAAGCATAAAAACCTCTTCATAGTGACAAATGTAGGCAAACTACTCATTGCATTGTCACACATCAGAATTTATATCAACCATCTTCTAGAGCGAATTCACACAAATAAATCCTGCAATACAATGCTGATATGAGACTAATCGGTAGCATTCCTTACTGTTTCACAGTGCAATAGAATTAGCTTTTACATAACCTCGTAAAGTTCATTACTGCGTACAATGCTTATAAGTACAATATCTTCTGGTATAAAATCTGCTACTCGTGCTTGACCGGGTGTGACTATTATGTCGTTGATATTATTATGCTGTTAGACGAAGATCACGCTTTCTTGTCATGTATTTCAACACCAAATTATTGCTGTATCTTTATTTAATAGATAAAATAACAAATCTATTTTTAAATCTAATTTTATTGACATAAGAAACATAGATGCAAATGAAAAAAAAGTATATCTAAAAATAACATAAAATATTCTCGCATATTCTAGTCACTGCACTGGTGAAATTCATAATCAATAAGCTATTAGTATTCTTTAACGGCGCGAGTTCTGCAGTAAAAGAATAGTAGTAAAACAATTTATCCGTGTGTAACAGCTCGAGTGCAATACCACATGTCCGCAGATGAGTCGCACAGGTGCTCTCTGCATCCACTCGCCATTTATCCGACACTCGCGGTACCGGCGAGTCACCTCGCGTGCGCACTCCCCGGGAACACGTGCTTGCGAAACAATCGATACAAAAAAATCGACTAAAGACTCTCTCAAATAGTTTTGATAGAACATCCTTAAATTTTATCGAATGTCGCGCGCCAAAATTACAAATTTAAAAATAGAGTTAGATTGAAGTGGTCTATGGAAAATATAAATAAACAGTGGACTTTGTCAATGTGAACAGATCTTAATTTGATATTATTATCATAAGTAAACATCACCATGTATTGTTCCTGTATTTAAGTGTTCACACGGTCTTCGGAACAACGAGTCGATAGGTAAGCCACTGCTTTTAAATAAATAGGCGTTCTTAATTAAATTGATCCGTTATCTAAAATTAATTTCGTCTAATTACGTCATCCAATTAACTTTTGTTACCATAAACATAGCATTGTTCACATATTTACATAAAAATTACAGATGAAAGTGTTTTATTTTAATATTTTTTTCACGTAAACGGCTCGATTTGCATTTTTGCGAAAGTTGTTTCGTTTTGAAATTACCTGCAATGCAAATCGACATTGTGCGTTTGAGCATTGAAGGAATAATACTGTCCTTAATTCCAATTGGTAAAATAGAAAGTTATTTTTTATAATTTTCATACACTCATGTAAAAACGTTTGCGTCAAGGATGGGAGAGAAAGTGTAAAGAACCTTTAAATGATATTCAATGTTCACAAGATTGTGTACATGTGCATATAATTAGTTGGAACGCACACTAGTGTAGCCACGGCGCAGTTTGCTTCCGATAATATTGTTCCGGTGAGTTCCCACAAGACGGCTAGGTAAAAAGAAGTGCTCTCGATAATTAACCAGAGTTAATTGACGCACACTCCACGATGTACAATACATTTTGATGCGGTATTTCACGTTGCCTAGATTGTAATTAGCTATTCTACTATTCTTATAGACTTTCTAAAAAAACGTTTATCGACAGACGCTTTAGTTTCAATAGACATGCAAGTGATTTACGGTGTTATGTGAACTGTTCGCGACTTGAGAGTACCAAGTGTGATACTTCATAGGTCGTTGTTACCTTTTTCTATTGTACATAGTTTGTTGGGTGCATGAGTCTAGGATTTTTTTTAAGGGGAGAAAATCATCGAATGACTGCTCCCGCCTGGGTGAGGCGGGAGGGAGTGTCAGACTCTTACTGACTAAAAACCACCCCGTTCCTTCTCCTGCACGTCGAGCCGGAGCCCCGGTTACCCGTTAGGTTCTCCGCGGTCTAGGATTCGGTCAGGTCGTGTAACGTTTACACAATGTGATTATTTTATACATATACTTAATGAGTAAAATAATTAAGTCTGAAATTGGTATGTAAGGCATAAGTTCACTTCTACTGGGTTCATAACAGATAATAGTGAAAAGTTAGTGTTACATTGAGACTTGTATACATGTTTTTTACAACATAACATAACATCACGCCTATTATCCCCGAAGGGGTAGGCAGAGGTGCACACAGAAGTAACACCCACTTTTCACTAATTATGTTATGAGTCCCGGGGTGAGCCTATTGCTATATACCGGGTACATTTCCAGACTCCGTGCTACTACGTTTTTTTTATTTGATGGGCCGATGTTTGGCCACTATCTAATATGTACACCTCTACCTAACCTGTCGTGGAATAAAAAGCACAATATTATGGAAAGAAAAACAAAAATGACTAAATACGTTTAGGTTACGGCGCATGAACACTACAAATATTTCATTTATAACACTAATCAGAGATTAATGTAAAAAGTTTTGTAAAAATGTTTCTTTTCGGTCTATTTTGTTTCCGCGTGTGATAGGATTAAGATTTCATACTTATGTATGAAGAATGTCTAAAACACGCAATGTTTCATACATATTAACATACGCATTTCTTTACGCGAAATTGCTTGAAACCAGCTAGCAGTTGTAGCTTCTCTCGCGTGGTAAAATGAAGCATATATATGACCCTCCAGTCGCCCGCCCCACAACTAAAAAGAAAATGTACGTATTTCCACCTTTGTTATGAGATCGGCGACTAAAGAGCAGACGGAACACGGATAGGCAATAGGCGCCGTCCATGGACACCCGCAACGCCTGAGAAGTTTTAATTTACACGGTCGTCGTTTATTTGCGCGGTCGGCACCTTTGGGGGTTAGGAGATTGCATTGGGCGTTTGGGGATTGTGTGATAATAATCTTTATGCAGAAATCTAATTGGACACAAATACGAAAACTGTCCTTGGTGGGATGGGGAGGAGTAAGGCTTCTAATAACGTCACTCACACATCAAAACACAACGATTGTGGTATTGTGATTATTTGTGGCCACCAAATTCAATTGGAAACATGCATAATGACGATGACAGAATGCAGATTTAAAACTTGGGTGATGAGGACATATCTTGGATTACAATTAATTAATGCGACGGATATAGATACGATAACACAGATTAGGAATTCATTTATTTCAACATACGTAGGTATAATAATTAAGTTGATGAAATGATCTTATTACCCACCGCTATTTGTTGAATATTTCCAAAGAAAAAAAATAGATACCTAGATGTATTCATCTAGGTATTTATTTTTTTAATGACGTCTGCATTATAGATTTATCCTTGAGCCAGAAGTCATCACAATCGATTTAGCATTTTAGGCGTAAAACCCAGTTAAATAACATTTAAATACGAATTAATTTAGCGAAGAAAAATTTGTTTGTCAATAATATACCCTTCCATCTTATAATATTATTCGTATAGATAAACTATAAATTCATTTTCAATCTAAAATCTAATCAAGTGCTCCAGAAATTAAGTTTCGATTGCAATCTGTGGTAAGGTCAAGGTGCATTTTGATTAATGTCGCAATTTATTTGACAGACTAATCCGACCCGACAAAAGGTTAATTTGATCTGTTATAAATAAATAATATTTCGATTATCACTTTAGCATACTTAGATATTATTTCATCTCAAATCTGAGGCAAAAAAAATAAAATTCTTTTAGTGAGCTGATTAGTCGATTAATTAACAATGACATAAATATCGATAAAACCATTAACTATCGATATATTATTAATTAAAAACAAAAAGAACTAATTGATATCGTCTATCGTCAAATTAATAATTTTATTATATCGCATGAATATTACTTGACCGTATTAATTTAATGATTTACCTCAACTCGGTAGCTGATATTAGTGATTTATTTGAATATCATCACCAATAATCAGCTATCTGTAATGACGATGATCATTCTATCAATATGCATTGACGAAGTTCATTGACCCAGTTAACTAACTTAACAAAAACTTACACTTATTTGACTAGGCCTGCGCTTCCAATATAGTTTTAATGAGACAGGTCTAATAACAGACTCGGTGGTTCTAAATAATATAGATGTTTTATCGATAACTTTATATCGATATCGGCTCGTTACAATGTCGATCGCTGTAATTCGATTTATGAAAAAATCTGTTAACAAGATAGTTTCGAATGGACGTAAGCAAATATGCAACGGTACTCTATTGTGTGATACATAATGATGGTCAAAGGAAAAAATACCGAATAGTCGGCGACTTTTTAAAGTCAGTTTTTTGTTGCCATATTAAAAAATAGTTTAAGGCATCTCCTGCAATTTGCAAATAATTAATGTTCATCTCTCGACTATCGTACATTAATTTAGACGATTATGTATTCTGAATTGAAGTTGCGAAGATTATTTATGCACTTTTTTATTTTTGCTATTGGTAACATTATACGATTTGTAATAGAGCTTCAGAAATAGCAAGTATTATCTAATATCCGGTATAGCAGTTGCATTCACTTTAAAACCAATTAATCATCTAAAACCAATATTTTAACAACAATTCCGGACATTTTAGTTGTGATTCGAAAGTTTGATTAATTATGTTATTGAATTATTATGTTACTTTTTTTTAAGTTAATATTTTGTTATCTATTACCTGTTTACAACTTCGTGTGTAAATTTTTATAAACATCTACAACTATCGGAACGATCATATTTATTTCGTATCAGCAGAACAATATTGAATGAAACTACCAATGATTGTTATATTTTATTTTTATTTCAACATTCTAGAATAGAGTTAGAAAATTAACAGCCGTAATATTCCTTTATTGGGCTATTGGGCATCACAGGATTTACCATGACTTCCGAGCTCGGGTTGCAAATTGCAGGTTAATCAGAGATTTCTGGTGAGTCACCAACGTCTTTGTCATGTTGGTAGTTACGACACACACAGAAAGAATAGTGTCACTACTTTGAATATTGTTTGGCTTTGGGGACAAGCCCGCCACAACCTCCCAAAACCGCTGCAACTCCTGTAAGCCAGGATCTAAAAAAAAAGAAGTGAATCAGAAGATATTAGGTATATAAGAGAAGAAAAAAAACCTAATAGTACCTAATGTCGCGGAGAACCTAACGGTAACGGATAACTCCGCCTCGACGTGCTCGAGAAGGAACAGGGTGGTTTTTAGTCAGTAAGAGTCTGACACTCCCTCCCGCCTCACCTAGGCAGGAGCAGTCATTCGATGATTTTTCACCCCTTAAAAAAATTTGTACCTAATGCCCTGAAAAAAAAAAATTCGGTGATAAAAAAAAGTCTTCATATAGGTAGGTATCACTATCTTCTACTTGTGTGTTCGCCCGCGTTCACGTTGGTTAAAAAGTAGCCTATGTGTTATTCTATAGGTACCATAATTTACCACTGTTAGAAATTATATCCCGTCACCAGTTTTGCCGTGATTGAGTAACACACAAAGTCACAAATTTTCGCATTAATTATAATATTATATAGTACTAGCTACTTCTGCGCGGTTGCACCCTCTCTGCTCGGCTCCTAATGATCGTAGCGTGATGTTTTGTAGCCTTTAACCTTCCTCGATAAATGTACTATCCAACACAAAAATAATTATTGAAATCGCACTGGTAGTTTCGGAGATTAGCGCGTTCAAACAAACAAACAAAAAACAAACTCTTCAGCTTTATAATATTAGTATAGATATGGCATAGCAAGATTACTAGACGAAGAATAACAATACCTATCTAATATCGTAATGAACTTGTTAGGCGCCCAGTTACAGCAATAGTAGTTCCACTCGATCGCACAAACTCATCCAATGGAACTATCTATTATGAACATAAGTACTCATACAAGTCTGCATTTTTATATAATTCAAAATTAATTACTGCACTGATTATATTCTGTGCGCATAGGATTATCAGGTTCCCTCATCTTAGTGTTGCCATAACATTATTATTATATGAACTTCTTTTTATGTT